CGGCAGGTCACATGACATGTCATGTGACATTTCCATGGAAAGAAATTCAATTGAAAATGGGGTAACCAGAACATACATTGAAAATGTCGGTTTTAGGTTAATATTATCTCTTAGTAGGTTGTCTTCAAGTCTTGTCCTAGAATGGTTGTCCATCACTTGCCGTTAAGGAGATATTTGGTGAAATAGGTCACGTGACCTAAATTCACTTCTGAAAATCTGCTGTTTTCTCCTTATTTTATTTAGAAAGTCATCCATTCTAGGACAGGTCTTGTTGGTTTAGGTCTACTAAATACTTTGAAATCAAAAAAACTTTCATTAAAGTACATTCTCATTACCCCATTTTGAAATTACTGTTTTTTCGTCTTTTGGGTCACGTGACCTCCATATTTGGACAAAACATATTTAAAAATTCCAAGGATCATGATTCTCTTCATGACACCAAAGCTTATTCCTCTACAGTAAATGTTAGTTAAAATATAACGTTTTTAATTTTTTTGATATCGCCTAAAATCCCAGGCCTTAACTCACTTGAGCACGATCGAAAGTAGCCATGGGTCAATTTCTATATGCAATTTGAATCCAATAAGTGAGATTTTGTTTGTCAAAACAGTGTAACCATAGTCCCTTTCGGTCGTTCAATCTCCCTTCGACAACCACATCGTCTCCCCGACAACATTTTTTTTTAAATAACATCTAACGACTCTATAATGTTCTTCTTGTAAAATATGTAAATGATGTAACATTGAAAATCTTATTAATGTATTAAGTGAATCATAAAACATTGTTAAATAAAATACGTGTGCCGGTTATTCTTGCGTCAATATGAGAAACTTTTCATTGATTTGCGTACAAGAGTTCCAGGATCAGTTATCAATTTTCTGACGACAAGATGTCGCGCTTCCAGGTGCAGTTGCCTTTAATATTGTGTATTTGTATATCATACTTATATATTCTATGTTTGTAAAAAACACAGTTATGTCATTACAAATGTGAAAAAATTGAAACAAATACATTTACATTAGTACTAAAAGTGTCTTTTTTATGTTAGATATGTGCTTTTTTGTGTTCTTTGGTATAGTAATGCTTTGGGAGGTTCTTTTATAGTTGTAGTTTTACAACACTACAGATATGCCGTTTTGAATGATACATGGCTCAGGTGTTTCGGAGGACAATGAGTCCGCCATCTTGAAAAGTAAGACCCGAATCACTATATATGTTGTGCCTTATATTAAAACGCATTTCGTAATTTCAAGTCAACTAATTTATCATTATATCGTGTTATATTAACTTGACATTAGCTTAGAACCTTTTAATTTCTTTAGCACTCAATTATATTTAGTCAATTTAGTAATTCGAGTCCCACTTCAAGATGGTGGACGCATCGCTCTCCAAAGCTCTTCATGCATATATGTTAAACTCTTCATAAGCGAGTGTCAAAGCCCTCATTTTCTTGAAACTGAGTCACGCTGTTCATGGACAGGACGTTGCTTGGTCGCAATTCGTCTTTTCCTTTGGTACAACAGCAAACTAACTTCTTTAAAAAGTAACGAAAACGTTCACCATGAAGAGTATATATTATGGGATTAACTGCAGAGTTTAACGTCACCATGGCAACACTCGCTGGATAAATTACAGTGCTATCCATAAGGCTTGGTGCATAAGCTGCCACCACAAAGATCGTAAGCTCCGGTACCCATGACAACGTGTATATAACGCTGACCGTTAAGACCATTTTGGTCGCCTTCATTCGTCGTTTTCGTTCAGATTCGAGATTATTGACTTGCGTGACTTCTCGATTTACCCATAATGCATAGACAACCCTGGAGTATAGCACGCTCATTGTAGTTATTGGAATAATCCCGAGCACAATGAGAGACAAGAGCGCATACACTTTAAACGAGTACTCCGCTGGCCATTCGCTGGCGCAGAATCCTAAAGATGGGTCATAACGCTTTACTGCGAAACCAATGGAATTCCACGCAATTGAGAAAATCCAACAAGAAACAACTAATATTTTTAGCTTGTTTCGCGTTATACTGTAGCCATGAACGTATGGCTTTGTCACGGCATAATGCCGTTCGATTGCAATGGCAACAAGAAAATAAGAGGATGCATAGCCACCCACCCAAGCAAAGCTCTCTCCAGTTAAAAAYACGCAAAGAATATCCCCCGTTTGGCCAGCAGGGTGCGTGTAAGCATCTCTGAAGATGAATGTAGGGGTGAAGAACACAAGTAACATCATGTCTGAGATGGCAAGGTTAACGAGGAGGTAGTTCATGGGTGTTCGCATGGGTTTGTTGAGAAGGACGACGAGACAAACCAAGATATTTCCAACGATACCAGTGACGGTGACAAGCGAGAATGCTGTCCTGACAGCGATGTGGACGGTAACGTTCATGATGGTCGTGCAGTGAAGACAGTNTACAAATGACTTTGTTGTTTTCTTCAGCTCTGTAAATGTAATATGTCTTTATAACGTTAATGGTATTGAATATATGAGGCAACAATAGAAATATTTTCATGACGAGAAAAAAAAATGACACAAGTCCTACAAAAATGCTATAAATATTTGATGTATTTCTGCGCACTTAAAAAAATTTACATGACCTGGACAAAACACTTTTTTGAGAATCTTCAGAAGGGTTGAATTTATACCAGGCAAGATTTTGGAATATCGGAAAATATATTTACCCTATTGCTTGGCAAAGAAACTGTCATATTTCAAAGGAGTTCGCCTCGACCTTGGAACTGATACACGCCCCAGGGGTTCGAATCGAAAAAAGGGTTAAAATGGAATGCTGAGCAGAGTAGAAATAGTCTAATGTTACTTTGCAACAAATAAAATAAAATAAGTCCTACTAGCTATATAAACAAATTAAAAATCCAAATAAGAAAGTTAAGGGCTTAGAATAAAAGACTGTTGTCAAACAAAAAACAGCGGTCCCTCGCTTTGATCGGGAAAAAGGCATTTTCCGTTACAACTCTTTCTATTCTATACTTACAGTTTCCTCGTTCTTGAAATTCAAATTCGCGTTAACTGCCGATTGAAAAGAAAAAAACTCATTTTGATTCAGAAAATAAGTTCAAGATACTAATAACTAGTTTTGAATGAACATCAATGAAAATTTAATTGATATTCAATAATCAAASATTGGCAYAAGCCCGTAAGGGATCATGGTTACTATTACGTCATTTTTTAGCATTCATTTTCATTACATCAACTAGCTTGTGTTGATCAATTTGTGACAATCGACTAAATAATGATGACAGACAAGATAATCAAGATAAACAAGAGCGACAAGTCAACAATAATCAAGATAAACTATGCAAACAGTTCAAACTACTGAAATAATTCCTTTGATAAGCTCTTTGAACTGTCAGAGAACAGCTTTTTTGTCATTTGGTGATTCAATGTGACACAGGGCTTTGACTCGAGAGAGTCCCTCTCTGTACTAATGAAAAATTATCCATCGTTTCCTTTTAATGTTTATCATAATTATTCTAATTATCAGA